AAAAACACATAACAGAAAATTTACCAACTTCACCATTTCTAAGTGTGCAGTTCAGTAGTGTTAAGTATATTCACATCGTTGTGAAACAGATCTCCAGAACTTTTTCATCTCAAAAAAAGTTATCTGAAACTCTATACCCATTAAACAACTCCCATTTCCCCCTCCCCCCAGTTCCTGGTAACCACCATTCCACTTTCTGCTTCTATGAATTTGACTACTTTGTATACTTCACATAAGTGGAATCAGACAGCATTTGTCTTTCTGTGACTAGCTTATTTCACTTAGTATAAAGTCCTCAAGGTTTTTTCATATTGTAGCATACGACAGGATTTCCTTCCTTTTGAAGGCTAAATAATATTCCGTTGTATATATACACCTCATTTTGTTTATCTTATTCACCAACTGATGGACATTTGAGTTGCTTCCACCTCTTGGCTGTTGTGAATAGTGCTGCTATGAACATGGTTGTGCACATATCTCTCCTAGACCCTGCTTTCAATTCTTTTGGATGTATACCCAGAAGTGGGATTGCTGAATCATTTGATAGTTATATTTTTAATTTTTTGAGGAACGCTCCTGCTGTTTTTTATAGTGGTTGCACAATTTTACCATCTCACCAAGAGTGCACACAAGGGTTCCAATTTCTCTACATCCTCATCAACATTTGTTATTTTCTGGTTTTTCTGATAATAGTGATGCAAATGGGTGTGAGGTGTTATCTCATTGCATTTTTTATTCGCATTTTGTCTAGTCACTCTTAAATAATAAAAAGTCCTTTGGTCATTTTCAGCTCCAAAGAACAATCTCATTTTAGCAAATGTGATAAGCAGAATAACATCTCTACCTCTGCATAGATGCCTAATCCCTGGAACCTGTAGATATGTTTTGCTACATTACAAGGGGGAACTAAGGTTGCAGATGGAAATAAGGTTTCTAAACAACTTCCCTTCCCCCCGCCACCCCAGCTTGCCTGTGACTCTTCCAGGGTTAGAAGAGATGGAGGCTAGGAGGAGACGTAAGCAGCAGGAGAGACTGTCCTTACCGAAGGCAGATATAATATGATGCTTGTATCTTCTGGGTGAGGCAGATTCCCAATGATGATTCTGTCTCTTCTATAGCACTTTGTGCGATCCTCAATCAAAATTATCCCCTCTGGGCCCTCGGGCAATCCTTGTCTGTGGCCAGCTGCTTCTCGCCCCATCTTCATCCTCCACAGCAAATAGGAACTTCCAGCCTCCTTCTGCTGAGAGCCCTTCTCCTTTGGAAGGAATCCTTTGTGGACAGGTCTTTTCCAACAACCCCAAGGCCAGATCCTTCCCACAAGTCCTCTTGGCTTACGAGAACACTCTGAATCCTTTCCCTACCCCCACCAGGGGTAGATGTGCAGTTTTCTCTCCACTGCATATACAGTCAGCCTTCTGTATCCACGGTTTCCACATCTATTGATTCAACCAGGGCGGATGGAATGGCCTACAATTGTTGCATCTGTACTGAACATGTACAGACTTTCTTCTCTTGTCATTATTCCCTCAACAGTATAACAACTATTTACATAGCATTTACATCGTATTAGGTATTATAAGTAATCTAGAGATGATTTAAAGTATACAGGAGGATGTTATACACATAGGTTATATGCAAACACTATGCCATTTTATATAAGGGACTTGAGCATCCTAGGATTCTGGTATGCACGGGATCCGGGAACCAATCCTCCACACATACTGAGGGATGACTGTATATGTCTTTGCTTTGCCATCAGGCAGGCAGTTCTAGCCGCAGACTTTGACCTTCTCAGAGAAAAAAAATGCTTAAAGTTCTTTAATGTGGCTGATTTTACAGTCTTGAACTTCTTTCTAACAATGGTCTGCATTCATTCAGCATTTTCTTATGATAGGTATTAGGAACTACTTTTCTGTTCTGCTTTTCGAGATTTTGCCCAAGATCATTTCCAGTTAGCCCATATGTGTTTATATAGCATATCTACATATAAGCCAGAAACAGTTTCATGCGGTGATAATATGGTTGCATTTATAGTAAATGAAATTGTCATAAGAACTTGGGAATTTTGAGATAATTCACATTTTTCCTTAAGTAATTTATTTTTACAGAGCTATTTGCAAAGTATGTCTTCTCTGAACATTTCCCCCAAAACCTCTACCCTTTATGACTTTAAATTCAATATCATTGCACATTTCTATAGGGAAAAAGAACATTTTACAAGAATTCTAAACTAATTACAAGTAACTTTAGCCACCACTTCATCTCTCCCTTTCCCTTCCTCATCTTGCCCAAGTTTAAGGTTCTCTAGGGGAGCAAAGGATTTTCACATCATGAGAAAGATTATTGCTGATGTCATTCATGACATAAACTATCATTCTCAATACGAATTTAAACAACTTTGCAATCCAAGACGAGGATATCAAAACCAATTATCTTACAAATGAGAAATTCTCAGTAATTTGCCCTTTGTCGACATCTCTTCAGGAAAACACAAGAGACTGATAACAGTTGTTGACTCTTAGAAGAGAACTGGGGACCTGGAAAAATGGGGAGGAGAAAGACTTACTTTTCACTAAATATCATTTTGAACCTTTTGAATTTTATACTATATATTCTCAATTCAAAAACTTTTTTAATTTAAAAATAATAATTTGCATTTGAAAGTAAAAAACTACCGTTCTAACACTCAATGTCACAAGCAAAAGTTACCTTCTGATATCAGAAAATAGAGTTTTAAAAGTTTTAAGGATAAATTGAATTGTGTATATAATAGATCTAGGATTTATAGAAGTAAGCTTGGTAAATTTTTTGAGTTTTTCTTCCACTCTCTGCTCTCAGATTGCTTGAGATTGCAACAAAAACAAAGAGAGAGCTTGGTTTTTGTGGGGAGGGAGTTTGTAGAAAGGCACATCTTATTGACAATGAATCCATTTCATCATTTCTCGAGAGCCTGCCATCTACCAGGCACTGTGTTGGGTGCCGGGAGACATCTTGTGCCTGCCCAGGAGAGAAACTTGCTCATTAGAAAAGAGAAGGTGGGGCTTTGAGTTCTTACAGTTGGGGTTGGAGGAAGAGGGAAGACTTAGACTGAACGCCTAGAGAGGAAGCAAGAAGGACTTGAGCCAAAATGGAATCAAAACACAACATGGAAGTCACTGGAATCTGAAAACAAGGGGAGGGGTGGCACCTAAGGAAGGGGAAGTATATTCAAAGCAATGGGTGAATAAGAGGCTCTTTTCCACAAGCCAAGTGTCCACACCCAAAGCAAAGTGGAGAACTGAGGCCTGAATTTCCCAAGCAATTGGCCCAGCTCTTAACAGTGATGAAATGATTACTCTGGGCCAAGTCATGTGTACAGATGGTCCCCAACTCACAACGGTTCAACTTAAGAATTTTCAACTTTACGATGGTGGGAAAGCGATACGCATTCAGTAGAAATTAGACTTCAAATTTTGAATTTTGCTCTTTTCCCCGGGCCAGCGCCACACTGTATGACACTCTCTCGTGATGCTGGGTAGGGCAGTAGCCACGGCTCCCAGTCAGCCACACAATCACAAGGGTAAACAACCGATACACTTACAACCATGCTGTACCCATCCAACCAGTCTGTTTTTCACTTTCAGTATGGTATTCAATGGATTACATGAGCTATTCAACCTTTTATTATAAAATAGGCTTTGTGTTAGATGATTTTGCCCAAGTGTAGACTAATGTAAGTGTTCTGAGCACATTTAAGGTGCTAGGCTGGGCTAAGCCATGATGTTCAGGAGGTTAGGTGTGTTAAATGCATTTTTGACTTATGATGTTTTCAACTTATGATGGGTTTATCTGGATAAGTTGAGGATGATCTGTGTGACAAATGTTAAAGGGAAGGTCCTGACCTCCAAAGCTCCTGTAAGTCCTTTCCCAGCCTCAGCTTTTCTCATTTGTAAATCAGGAATAATAATGCCTACATTATAAAATTGTTGTGAGGATTTGCATGGTGTTAGGAGCATAATAGCTGCTCAATACATGGTGTCTGTTGTCTTTGTTGTTGCTGATGTTAATACCTGTAAATAAAACTAAACGTCATAATGATAGATCCCATGGGTTGGCTCATTCAATCTTCATTTTACCCTCCTTTTGGAGTAACTTCCTGTACTGCCAAGTCTGTGCAACGAGAAACTATATTTCCCAGACTCCTTTGCTCTTAGGGTCTGGATGCCAGTTAGGTTCTACCAGTTAAAGGCCATCACGTGAGCTCTGGAAGACGGAAGGAGGTGGAGGCCACCTTTTGCAAACAAGGCCACAAAGATGTGAGTGGCACGAGGCAGCAGGGGCAGTGGTGGAAGCAGCAGTTGCAGTGGTTTGCCCTTGACATCAATCAGTGGTGGCCCTGCTTTCAGCTTCTCCAGCCCTTCCAGTGACTTTGTTAGCATCTAATTGCTGTATCAAATCCTTTCTGTTTAAAACACCTAGAGTGAGGTTTCCTGTTTCTAGAACTGAATCCCGACTGATTCAGAAATAGACATTTCATCTAAAGAAATACCATATATGAACTTTTGTGAAAGAATTTATTTCAAACTACTGCCTCAAACTTGCTTAAATTTGAATTATGACTTAACTGCCATGTTTAAACCAGTACAGTGCTTTCCTTATTGATGCCCATTTTTTTTTGAGATCTGTTAACACAATTAAAGTTTTCTGGGATCCTGAACAGTTAACTCTGTATTTGTGTATCATATTGAAGGCAGAGTATGTTTTTGTGATGATCATAACATATCCCTTATCTTTCTTTATACTGTATTTGGTTGAGGGGAAAATGGTCCCTGCAATAATTTTGCCTCCCATTATCCATTCTTCCTTCCTTTCTTAGTGTCAAGGACATCAGTTTTTAGCTGGGGACACTGCTACCCAGCTAAAGTTTATTCCCACCATCCCTTAAAGCTAGGTATAGCCATATGACTAAATTTTGTCCAGTTAGATGTCAGAAAAAGTGTTTTGTCTAAATTTAGAAAGTGTCTTTAGAAGGAGGGTGCAGAGGCCTCTTTGCCCCTTCCTCCTTCCTGTTGGCTGGAGTGTGAATGTGATGACAGGAGCACCAACAGCCATCTTGGGTCATGAGGTAGTACACTAATCATGGCAGAGTAGAAGAGAATGAGCCTGTTGCCTGCAGAGCTGCCACATAGGCCCAGATTTTGTACCTCCAGATTTCTTCTGCATAAGAAAAAAAATCAATCTCTAACTTTTTAAAGTCACTGTTATTTTATTGCTGTTTTGTTATTATATGTAGCCAAACCTACCCTTCATTAATGTAAGGGGAATTGCCAAACTTCTGCCCCTATCAACCATGGACTATTTCTCAGTTTCTAAAAACAAGTGCATTCTCAAAAGATGCCCAACGACTGAAACACAGTAAGGCATGCTGCCAAAAATGTTGACCTGGGTTTAGATATAAGCACATAAAATGATTTCACTGAGGCCAATTCAGCATATGCAGTGGTGAAGTTTGTTAGCTGGATGAAGAACTTTGATTACTCATATTACTTTCAAAATCAATTTTAGGTTAAGTAAAAGGCAAGTCCTCAGCCCTAGCTGATGGTCCCTCAGTACTAGAGGTATTGATTCAAAACAGCTGCGTTTTTGTTTAAACTGGCCCTCTCCTGTTCATCGAGTGACCACACCACAACAGACAGCACATCCAACGGTATAATCGGCTTTGCAGCTCTCTGTTCCAGAGCCCATAGATCAGAGGGTTAAAACACTGGGCAAATGCAAAGACTCCAAAAAGCACCAGATTTAAAGCAAAGAAAAACACCCCGCACATCTTCCCCAAGCCTATGAATAACAGGGTTGGGATCACGTGTATGCTCAGCTGCACTAAATGAATAAGGACTGTTCTCCTCGCTTTGATATTTGACCTGTTAAAATGGCCAGCCCGCTTCCCTTCTCGGTATATCAGAGAGTAACTTATAAGAATGACAGACAGGGGAAGGAAAAGGAAAACCATGCCAATGGCTCTGGCAGGAACGCCATTCAAGATCACTGGGCAAAGGGGTTCAGATTTAAAAACAGCAGTCTGAGTGGAGTTAGTGCTCTCTATGAGGAATAAGCAAACATTCTTGAGTATAATGATCATCCAAGTCCCAGCCAGAATCCTATACCTAACTGAATGTACAAAGGACAGGTATTTCAACGGCCAGCAAATGGCCAGGTAAGTGTTGACAGCCATCAAGGCCAGAGTGAAGAGGATTCCTTCTCCGACACTTAGCTGGGCTCCAAACACCACCCAGCACATCAGCACGGGGCTGTTGGCCAGCAGCGCCCGCATCCCTTGGAAAACCACCCCCAGACCACAATAGGAGGAGATGCACAGCAGATGGTGGCAAAGGAGGATGTATCGGACCTCCTTCCTCAGTTTCAAATTCTGTGACACTGTGGCAATAATGACGACCGTGATGAAGGTGGCAAAGGAGAAAGAAACCACATACACAGACGCCTTCACTGTGGCTTCCAGCCTTAGCCAATCCGATATGTTGCAGTGCCCGGAAGACAAGTTCATGATCTTCAGGGCAACTCGGCTCCTGCAGGATCAAAGAACAAGAAAGAGTGAATCTGTGTTAAAGCTTCCTGGGTGGTTTTCCAGCTCTCTGATCTTGCATGCAGTCTCAAGGGACAGATTGCATGTTTTTAGGTACAAAGGATGACAATTTAGATAGAATTGACACAGATCAAAGAAACTGGAGAAATCATCTAGGGTCTTCTCTTTACTTCAGGGGAGGGGCATATACTCAAATCATCTAAAAGGAGGGTTTGAAAGATGTGCTCTCTGCACTTAGCAAATTGTTCAAAGTCAGGTCAAGGTTGTAACCCTTATGCATCCTTTTTCATCTTTGGTTGTGAGAACTTTCTCAATTCAGAGCACAAAGCACAATGTTGTAAAAGTCAATTGATTACCCACCAAACACATGTTAACACTTAGTGCCTGCAAAGGTCTGAGGAAGAAGTTAGGGCAGGAGCTGTGAGGAACGTGGAGAAGTCGATGCCAAAACTTGAATTCATTCGGCTCCTTGAGACATGAAAGGGAGATTGACAACAATGATGACAATCCTGGATGACATTTACCAAGTAGTTTCTAGGGATCAAAAACTGTTCTCACAGCATATTCCTCACTAACCTGGAGTACATTTTATTTTCCACCAAATGGTTTTATCATGCACTTTTCACAAATGGGGAAACTGAGACCTGGAGAGGCTATGTAACGTGCTCAAGCCCGTGTGGTTACTACTCAACAGGGCCAGGATTTAAATTTGGGAATACAACTCCAGAGCCCACACTCACAACCACTACGAGTAAGTTTGTGTCACATGCAAAGCCAAATGCATGCATTCGCTGAGTTCTTCTTTGGCCAATGTCATTTGACCAGCCAACCGAACCCCATTTGTAGTAATATTGTTTCTGTTGTTAGGAAGCTGGAAGACTGCACATCCAGGAAGGTGCTGGGAATGTGACCACTGAAATGGGAAGTCATGCACAGTAGCCTCATCAAATCTTCTCAAGTGTGCACAGCAATGAATAGCAGCCTGAGGAACCCCCAAATTACATTATCATTTTTGTCTCTGTGAGAGCCTGCTATAGAAACGCCAACTGTCGCCTCCCCTTCCACACTCCACCCAAGGTGATCAGCCCCACCATAGCCTTACTGCCTCACTTCCTCATGACCACAGCATCACCTCCTTCCCCATCAAAGTTGATTGGACAGGGAGTAGACCTCTGATCCATGGAAAATCATTCTGTAGACTGTGCTGAGTCCATCAGTCTCTCTCTTAAAAATCAGACCCAAAGATTCTCACACAGAGAATGTAGTCCAAGTGTGATGTCATGTAATTGGCCTGGCAGTCATGCTGGAGTGTAGGTGAGCAAAAGAAAGAGACAGAGAGAGGTAGGAGAGAAGCAGAGACGAGGGAGACCATGAGGCCCCTGAGAGGCCACAAAAGACCTTGCAAGCCAAAGAGAACACCCTTGGCTTCTGAATTTCTGATTCCACTGAGCTGCCTTGCATTTTCCGTCCTTGAGTTCTAAAAATATAACACACCCCTCTATTACTTGAGCTAGCTTAAATGGGTTTCCTTTCCTTTATTCTGTCCCCTGGAGTTCAAAGTATATAAAATGGACCCTGAAGAGGCACAATAAATTATACTGATTTCCTAAAGGGCATATCACAATGGAGATACAACTATTGCAACTTCCTGAGAATCTAAAATGCCATCGTTCCTTCAGAAATCTCTTGCTGAAGGCACAATTTTTTCTGTGTATTGTGTTGTCGTCCTTTGTGGAGAATTTTCCCTGTTCTGATGGATTTTTGTGCCATTGTCACGCTGTTGAACTCCAGGAATTTATTTTCTCCACCCTCCAGCTCTCCAGAGAGGAATCAAAATTGTAGTGGTCACTGTCATCATCAAACTCATCATCAAGCTTTCTTGTAGCTGGAGGTTGTTCAATCAAAATCTTACACGAGAACCCCTCAATAATAAGCAGAAGAATGCACATCTGCCCGTATTAAATGCCTCCTCCTTAATCGCTCATTCCCAGAGCATGCGCCCCTGTAGCTGTCCTCAGGCACCACCATAGACACTGGGGGCCCCAATGAAGACTGCATGGAAACCCTGGGAAGTTAGAACAAACACCCCACCCCTGGACTGGGGCAATCCCATGACCTGGACTCTAAGCCTAGATCTGCCGCTAACAAGGAACGTGACTTGGGATGCTGAAGTCACCTTGCTCGTTTGGTCCCTGGTTCCTTACATCACAGCCATGCAGCACCACCATGCTCCACATCCATTCTCTCTACATCTGGAGTCGTCCTCACTCACATCCTCAGGGGCCAACTCTTCACTTGGGCCTGGAGTATCTGGGCTTTTACTTTATTCTTCGGAACAAGATTGCCCCCACCCCCGATCCAGAACCTCCTCATCTTATTCTCCATGGCTGAGCCTTGAATAGCACCCCTGGCTCTCTAGGACAGGGCCTATGAGGCCCCCTCCCAGGACCTGAAACCCGGCCTCTGAGCCCCAGACTTAGGGTGGTCGCTGCTGGCAGTCTCCACATGATGACGGCCTCCCTGTCTGCTTGGGCTTCTCAATAACGCCCACTCCCGGGCTCACCGTTGCCCGGTTTGGCCTAGCACATGGGCTCTTCTCCATTATTTGATCTTGCTCCACACCCCTCATTCTGCGCAGAATGCCAGTCATGTCTGTAGCATCGCCACTGTATTCCTCATTCCTGCTCAGCCGGAATTCCCTGAACCTGCCTGGGGTCCCCACCCACCACCCCTGCTCTAGTTCATTTGACAGCACCTCCCCAGTGACAATGAGCTGGGCTTGGCCTAGCTGTGTTCTAAGACTGGAAACCATACAAAGAGCATGAGTGACTGTCATTGTGCTTCCTTTACAATGAAATTTTAAAAGCTGTTCTTTTTCTCCCCTGAATTGCTGCAGCTGCAGTTATAACAAAGACTAAACCACCAACCCCCCTCCTCCCAGATCTGAAATGGTTCCAGGGAACTATTTATCGTTGAGACCAGACAAGGACCAGTTTCTTTATTTTTCTAATATGTTGAACACACTCATCAATGTGGCACATTGTTTCGTCAAACTCAACCAATCCTCACTGAGCACTGAAACATACAATGCAGAATCCTAAACAGAGAGGTTACAAGGTGGTAAAACATGGGCGCTAACATACAGAAGCTTCTTGTCCAGTGGAAGATGCAGAATACAGCGTAATTAGGTAATAATAACCAACATCATGTCTAGTTTCACTCATTTACCAAATGAGTAAGAAAGCTGGGTGTGCTATTGGAGGTTGTTCAGAAATAGAAGCGATGACTGAGGCAGTGAGAGAAAGCTCCTTGGAGGAGGCGAGACTTGAATCCAGCCTTTCAAGGATGAAAACTAGAACAAAGTAGGTCAATGGCGAGGTGGGCAGGGGAGAGGGGAGGTACAGATGCCAGGCCACAGAGAGTAGAAGGAGCCAAGGGAGGACCCTACCCGGTATGTTCAGGAGACAATAAGCAGATCATTTTTGGTGGACTGAAGGCTTGTTTAGAAGACTAAGGACAGACTAAGACCAGAACCAGATTTGGAGGGCCTTGATACCATTCCAAGGGTTAAAATTGATTTTGTAGACAATAAGGAGCCTTGCATGATTAAAATTAGGAGCAGCATATGCCACAGGTTAAGAGCCAACATGAGATGCCCAGGCTTTCTTGCACAGTGCTATTTGATAGGAGCTCTGCAGGGCAGGCAGCCCAGCAAAGGAGAATTTGCACAATGAAGACACCACTACCATAGCAAGTGGCTTAGAATAATTTTTGTATACAGGAAATTTCCAGGAGCATTGCAAATCTGCAAAATCAATGAGAGCAAGTTTTACTGCCTTTAATCTATTTATGAGACCTCAGGAAGATCGGCAATTTATTCAGGATCATGCAGCCAGAAAGAATCTCCCAGTCTCCGAATCCATATTCCTTCTCAGAGGTATAGTTGCATTTCAAGAGCTCATGGCAACCAAATCCGTATACTAAGCCCTCATCTAATCATATTACCTCTACTTAATGTGAGTTGTTAGAGACTTTTTCTTCTTCTGAAATTCTGAAATGGAAATACCTGTTTCCTTCTAGCCCAAAATGTTACTTTGGCTCCAGCTTTGAAATAAAACCTTGAGCTAAGAGACTTCAGCAAAGGATTACATTACATCCACAACTGCCCCAATAAAATCAGAACCAGCCACCACCACTCCCTGCAAAAATCCTGTAGGAAGCAGATGTGTGGGAAGGGCTGGACTGGATACATACAAGGTCAATGGAGCACCCGGGTCTCATCCTAAGAGCCCTGCTTAGGGCAAAGCCTTGAGCACCACGTGCTGCCCTCAGTGAGAGACTGAATCTACAAACATATATAAAAATAGATCTCACACCCACAACCTGCAGCAACCTGCCCAGGAAACCAACCCTTTATCTGCAGTAACTGACCCCAGAAGGCAACCCGCTGAAAGTCTGACTTAGGGGAAGTCAGACTGCTATCTCTCTGACAATCCAGGAAGCTAAAAAACAACCTCTGTAACTATTGGCCCACAACAGCCAAGATTTGATTAATAACTGACAGCTTCTCCAATTTTTGTCCCTTCTTCCAATTTAGGACCAACCAGAGAAAGCCAAATACGCACATCTAAACAGCCACAAAGGACGCCCTGCTTCTAGTTGACTGCCTCCAACTTCCCCAGGCCCACAGTCTCCCATCAGGGCACACTTGGACCCTTCCTTTTTTCCCGCATAAAGCTTTCCCACTCCTCTGTCTGCCTTTGAGTCTCTGCCCAAAGACAAGCGATGGTGGCCGACTCCTTTGCTGTAGTGAGCTCTGAATAAACAGCCTTTGCTTTTCTCCTTTGGTTGGTCTTTGTTTTTCTCCACATCGGGATGAAAAGATGATGTTAGTGGCTCTACAACAGGACATGTGCTTTGAGCCATTTCTCCAGGGAGCTCACGAATTTGTGGGAGCCCACTCTTCCTCTCCATCCTGTCCCC